CTAGCTCCCTGCCTCGTTGAGTCTATCCCTGGCAAGCCAGTTGCTCTCTGGTTACAGAGACTCCAGGTCTGGCCCAGCTTCCCACCTGCTGCTCGGATGCTTAATCTGGCCACCAGCATGCCCCCTCCCTGACCACCTCAGCCACAGCATCACAGACCATCTTGTAGCCGTATTTGACGAGTCCCCGATGGCAGACACTAACTGAACTTGTACTCAGATGAACCTCTGGCCAGATGGTGGCTCCTGCTTGGCTGAAAACGCCCTGCTGCTAGGGGCACCAAGTCTCCCTCAGGAGGTCAGCAGGGCTGGCCAACATGCCCCAGGGAAATAAGTCAGGCCAAATGGACCGGATCAGGAAAAGAATTTCTATTGCTCCTCTCAGATCTAAGGACAGGGAAAAAATTGAAGTTCCTAAAGAAGGGAGGGGGTGAGATTATTTTGACAACCCCAAGAAGAGGTTTAAAAATATCCCTGATTCCATCTTCACAACAACTTCCCCCCCTCCCCCACCGGTCTACCATTAGTTCTCAATTAAGCAATTTCCTCTGGAATGTGTGCCCATCAGTGGGGACAGTCAGCAGAACGCTTCTCCTTGCAGTCAGCAGGGGGCAGCGGTGTTGCTAGGGCCCCAATGGTGGTGTTGGGCGCAAGTCAGTGTATTGGGGGCACTGGGCACCAAAGAGGAGGCCCAATGGTGCAGTGGCTAAAGGGATAGGCTTTGAAACATTGGTGGTTCAAATCCACCAGCCGTTCTAGGGGAGAAAGATGGGGTGGTCAGCTCCTGTAAAGACTGAAAACCTTGGTCAGCTCTACTACTGTCATGAATGAGTCAATGAGTGGCTCTGGCTGCCCCGTTTCCCAAACCATCACTACACCCTGGATATTGGTGTTTTGTTCTGTTACCCCATCACTGTGTGCTACTGATCCCCTCCCCTGTGTCCAGGTTCCCCACCGGCAGATCTGTCTCCTGGACCTGCTGGGCACTGTCCCTGACAAGAAGCCAAGGCCTCAGTGTCTGGCCAGGAGCCCTGGCAATACTAACCTATTCACAATGGATGTGTGTCCTCGGTAAATGGCCAGACACTGGCCAGTCAGCACGTCCCACTTCCTGATGGTGTGGTCAGCGCTGCATGTGAAGGCAGCTCCCCTCTCCAATTGGCAGAAAGTCACGTAGCTTTCATGTCCTGCAGGCAGGAGAGACATGGGCATAGTGTGCTACCTGCTGACAGCCTTCTGGGAAGGGAGTTTGGAAGGGGAGACAGGGAAGATCGCCGGGACCGAGATCCAGATCCAGAACTGAACGACTTAAGTCTGGGAGACGCTAAGGAAGCCCTAGACCCCTTTACCCGTCCCTGTGGGCACACGCCTTAATGCCTTTGTTTCTTCATCTAAACTGGGGATGGAGATAACAGCTATTTCATGGGGCCGTGGTGTAGACTGAATCCTTGTGCTCGTTACACAGTAAATGCTGTGTGTCAGCTGCACTGCCTAGATTTAGGCAGAGTCAAGGTCGCCAAGGTTATTAGGTTCCAGCTCGTGGAATCTGTAAATGGGACCGTAGTTGGGCAAAGAGTCTTTGCAGCAGTGATTAAAGTAAAGATTTGGAGATGAGAAGATTATCCTGGATTATCCTGGAAGGCCCAACATGTAATCATAAGTGATCATTTAAGAGAAATGGCATAATTTTACCAGTAGCAAACCCCAAGGACTCTATTAAACCAACAAACAAACCCCCCCACACACACACACAGACACACACCCACACGCAAAAAAAAAAACTCAACAAAAAGCATTAGTGCTAATACATAAATTCAGCCAAGTGGTAGGATACAAAAACCAATGCGCAAAAATCAGCTTTATGTCTGGTCTATTCAATGAGCAATGTGAAAATAAAATAAAGCAACCAGTTCCATTTGTCATAGCATAAAAATAGCATTAAGTTTAATCAAGAAGGTAAAGGACTCGTGCATGGAAGACTACAAACCATTGCAGAAAGAAGCAGAAAGCCTACATAACCCTGAGAAACCCAGTGTGCTGCAAATGGTTAATGTGCTCAGCTGCTAACCAGAGGATCGGGTGTTCAAGTCCACCCACATGCACCTTGGAAGAAAGGTCTGATGATTCACTTGGGAAAAATCAGCCTTTGGGAACCCAATGAACTGTCAATTGTTCAAGGTCCAAAGGGCAGCATTTACTCGATGGCAAATGCAAGAATGCTTTGTTCTTTTAAACTGGCATTCGATGATGCCACCTTCCCCACATGATCGCTGAAGACAAATGTGTGCATAAGCAAATGTGGTGAAGAAAGCTGATGGTGCCCGGCTATCAAAAGATATAGCATCTGGGGT